AGCGGGCGGGAGCGAGGGGCAGGCGCGCACTAACAGCGCTCGGTGGTCTCTCGGCAGAAAGTCCTGGAGCTGAAGGAGGATTTGAAGCCGGTCCCCGCTGGCCCTGCGGAACAGCAGCCGCTCTTGCCTCGCTCAGGTCGGGACACGCCGTTCCACGATGGCTTTGGGCTGGAAGGGAGGGTGCGGAGCCGCTCGTGTGCGACAGGCGAGGCACAGGCGTACAAAGGAAGCGATGGGAACATCCTCAATGGAGCCTCCCGGCTTCCCCCGCCGGGAAGGGGCTGCCGGCGCTGCCACTTCGGGAACTCGGTCGCTGGAAACTGCAGCGATGATGGGAAGGGGGGGAGAAATAGCGGTTTCCGTATGGTTGGTAGAAATGCGCTTGGGGAGGGTGGAAAGGAGGAGCAGTGCTTAATGTAGTAAATTTTAATGTAAATTACGGACAATGATTTCGGGGGGAAAAACAGAACAAAAAAAAAATCATAGTGAAGCTTCTCTGTGTGAAGTAGGTAGGTTGTTGTAGGGCATTTACCAAAAGATGGGGGGATGTTTTCCCAGTTCATTTATTCTGAAGTTAGAGTTGAGTTTTGGTGGCATGCCACAGGAAAGGATTAAAGAAACTCCAAACAAACCGAGCGCACACAAAAAACCCCAAACAAAAACCTTTCCGGAGTAATGTTTTATCTTGTGCAGATAATTCCGTTTAAACAGTTTCTTGCATGGGATGCTAAAGATGAGGCTTTTTTTGCAGAAGAGGGAAGAAGTGTAACTCTACAGAAGTATTTTATAGTGAACGATCACATATGTTAAATAAAAACCCTAACAAAAACAAAGAAAAACTTAGAACTAACCACAACTAATTACAACTTTGTTTTTGTTTAACCTGGAGTTACACTCATGTTACTTTCTAACCTTAAGAGTTGGGTTCTGCGACTCCTCTACAAATACGCGACGCAAAATGCTTGTGAAGTGCAGCGGGCTGAACAGGGGGAAAGGAAATTTAGGGATTGGATTTATTTTTCACTTTTCCTGTTGCTGGGGACAGGTCGGCTTTGCCAGGACCTGATGGCGGTGTCTGTGTGCAGAGTGAGCAGAGCATTGGCTCACCTGTCTGTCCATCTGTCTGGGTAGATGTGAGAGGTTTCATTGTTCTCCCGCAGAAGGAAGTGGGCAGCAGGACGGGGCAGAGAGTGACGGGGAGGAGCGAGAGGAGCAGAACGAGGGGAGAGCACAGTGGGGACACAGCAAGTGCTGGGGCTGGGCTGGTGCTGCTCCACTCTCACCTGTGCAATTAAAGCCTCTTGGTTTCGATAGCTTGTTCTCATGACAGAGATGAGCCTGGGATCGTCCTGTAGTGAATACAGAGGGATTTATTTATTAGGGCTGCTGGATGCTAAGGGACTCTGGTTTTCTCTGGAATTCGGGTTGGCAGAGTGAAGGACAGCCAATCACATTTTCAGGTTGTTTTGCAGTGGGTGCAGTCACCTTTTCAGGTTTTCCTAAATCCCAGTGGGAATGGCCCCCTCAAACTTGAGCATTCAACCGTCTTATCAATCTCTAAACCGGGCTATCAGCTCATTGTTTGTGTCCTCTTGGAGGTGGATCCTGGAAGCAAATAAATGTTCGTGAGAATGGTTACTAGGAATTTCTCTGCTGTCTGGGATCCTGCCACTATTTTTGATTTTTAAATTAATGCTACCGATGGTTTTGAAGTATTTTAGACTATTATTGTGATGAGCATTTCAATGTTGCTGTATTGAAGAACATCTGTGGGAAAATGGTATGAAAAAAGTTCTGCCAAGCTTTAAAGAGAAAAAGGGCTTCGTGTCACAGTATCTTGTCTGTGGCTTACATGAAATCACAGTTGCTGTTGGTTTTCTTATTCAGGTACTAGTTTCACAGAATTCAAGCAGAGTAAGTAGAGTTTTGAGAGGGTTGCTGAAAAGTACTGTTTCCAAGAGTTACAGCTTTGAACTCTGTTTGCATGCTTATTCACAGCTTTCCTTCCTTGGTATTACGTGTCCTTTTCTGTATCTTCCAGCTCTTGGTTCCATCCCAGTGGAAGCCAAGGGGTGGATCCACAAAGGTTTCAGCTGGCACTGCTGTGGACGTGTCCCCAGAGCCTCAAAGTGCCCGTTTCCTTACTTGTCACATCTCTGTGCTTTGTCACTGGCAGGGACTCTGGCACTGCTGTTCGCTGCCCCGGGGCTGATCCAGAGGAAAAGTAATGCTCTTAGCAAGTTTTATCACTTTTACAAGTTGGTTTTCAGCCCCATCTGTCCGTTCTCCAGTCAAGTCAATCACATGGTCATGTGCTGGTGTGTCTGGAGAAGGGGGTGCTGCGACTCGGAGGGGAAGGGTGGGAGAAGAATGGGGACATTTTCTTAACAACATTGACATTTTTCCCTACCATAAGTAGTTCTTTGGACCATGTTCACAGTAGCTCCTGTGAGAGCAATACAGTTTTCTGTTTTATCTGACCATGACTTATCTTAAAAATGTAAAATTTAGTATTACATCTTTTTAAAGAAGTACTATACTTTGTCCATAGCTCATGTTTGTCTTTTGTTTATTTGTTAGGTTTGGGATTTGGTTTGATTCTTCCCTCCCACTCCCCCATGGCATGTAAAAGTTTTCTGGGGCAAGTTTTTTATCACCCCATGTACATCAGAAAACTTTCTTACTCTACTGCTGCAGTTTTTCCTTGGTGTTTATTTCTCTGAAATTATTGGTTATTATTTCTCTCTGCATTTACGTCTACTAAGTTCTTACAAGCTACTAATGAGGGTATAATGATAATATTTTTCAATTTTCTAGGTTTAATTATCGGAGGGGTTTTATACTCTACACTTTCTTCAGTTTATCTGTGTTTCTTTGTCAGAATGAGATCCAGTATTCTACGAGTTGGAGTGATTCATCTCTCTTCCTTGCCTGAAGTGATATCTGAGCCCAGGCAGATTAAAGTCACATCGGTCATTTTGCAGAAGCGTTTGCTTTGAAGACAATTCTCTCATTTGTTCAGCATTCTCACTCTTGCTTGTCTTTAGCTCCTGCTTCTGGCCGGGCTTTTTCCTTGATTTTATCTCTGGGTTTTCTTTGCATTACTTTTCCAACATAGTCCTGTTTGTCTCCCTTTCTTCTTTTGTTTTCTTTTTTGCACTAACACCCTTTGAATTGTTTCTACCCACTGGTGCTTGTAAACTTCATTCTTTCACTTGCAAAGTATCACTTGCAAGTTTCTTTAACATTACTTTGAGTCAGTCTTAGATCTTTAATTAAGATGTCAAAGACAACTGGACTAGCAAAGATCCCTGCAGCATCCCAGTAGATGCCCTCTGTATCTGTTGGTTCTGTTTGTCTCTCATATATCATATATATAATTATGCATAGTTTTGAAGCCATTATTCAATTTTCTAGCAATATGATCCGTGCTCTCCAAGCCAATCTGAAGTAATTTTTGGCTGTGATTTCCGTGGAGAGTAACAAATGCTATTTTAAATCTAAACTTATTGCTTTGGTCACTGTGTTCTTTTCATTCTTTGCCTTCACAGCATTTCTATCTTCCTTTGAGGAGCAATCAGGTTTATTAGGATTTACAGTAACGGATGTTCATATATTTGCAACTTCTGCCAACTAAGTAAATGCCCAGCATGTTCCTTTGTACAGCCTTGTAAAAAAGCCATGGTTTGGCATGCATGGGGCTCATTACAAGATCTGAGACTAGATTATTAGAAAGAGATTTTTAAGGGTAGGTGGTGGTGTTTTGAGTTCTTGGGGATTTTTGGGGATGGGGGGAGGGTTTGGTAGGTTTTTGGTTTTATTGTTCCTGCCCCTTGGGTCCTCCTTTTTCTGGAGATGATGCAGTCACTCCCCTTTGTTTTTAACACCATATGAATTAGACGTTTTCCTGCTAGGGAGGGGCAGGTTTTCCAGTTCCTGGTGCTACTGGCTGAGTCACTGGCTCTGTTTTTCTGTTCTCTTGTAGGTTTATAATTACCTTGTTCTTACCTTCGTTAGAATGTGATTGCCAAAGGGTAGGTGTTTTACCCTCCTGTATTTCTGAGACGTGAGTGCCAGTGGCTTTCAAAGCCTGGGTGCAAGCCTTCAGAACATCTGCTCTGCTATTGCCAAAGAGAAAACAAATCAGCATAGCCCTCAGAGTGCCTCCCTTCCAGCAGGATGGTAACCATTAATGATAGATGTCCAGGCAGTGTGTAATCTCTTGTAACCCGGACTGCTTGCACTAAAGAGGAAATGTCAAGAGAATGTGGAGCAGGTGTATACTGAAATGGAAAGGGAGGATTTATTAATGTGTCCTAAGTTCATTTTACCTGATCCTACATCTCTGTAAGCTCATTGAAATAAAGCTCATTTGTACCAGACTAGCAGGACTTAGGCAGATCTTTTGGTTTGAAAATCTTGTCAGCTTAAGGGGAAAAAAAAGGTGTAAAAGAGAGGTTTGTGTAAGGAGATTATATCCAAGCACACTCACTGCTCTTTGAATTATCTTTATGAAATTAATAAAAATATATTTATTTCTCTGCCTCCACTAGTTTGTGAAGGATTTATGTAATCAGAAGAGAATAGCTGCAGGTAGGACATGTAAATCTCTGCTTCTATCCATCCAGTATGCAAACTGAAAAACAGAGTATCAGCACCTTTTTCCACTGCTTTTGGTCACAGGTTTTATTTGTAAGGACATGCTTTAAAAACTGGAGCAGAGTCTGTGGATGGCTGTGTCCCTTTAAGAATCTAGTTTTGCTTGGCTAGCTGCCCTTGTTCTCCTGTAGATTAATCCAGCAGAAGGTATATAACCTGTTGACCTTCCTGGCAAAAAGGGTCTGGAAGGGCAAAGAGATAAATCAGAAGGTTCATACTTTCCTGTAATATCTGGGGACAGGTTTGTTTTTCAGTTTTTGACATTTCTTTTTTATTTTATTATTTTTAACAGATTCCTGCTTGAGGTTTGGGGTTGTAATTACAGATTCTTGTGATTTTCATGTGCTTTCTGTGAAATCGTTCTGTGTTCAGCAAGTTGGAGATGATTGCAGGTTTATGCCACATTTAGAGAGAGGAAAGAGTTCTGAACTCAAAATTACACTGGTCTCAGTTGAGGATGGCTTTACTGTGTCATGTATCAAACTGGTAGGAGCAGTGGAATCTGGCAGAAGTGTCTGGTGTGTGTTAGCTGGGAAATTTCACACTGTTTTACAGAAACATTGGCTTTCACAGTGTCAGCCTTGAGAACTGAATGTGTAAGCAGTGAATGCTGATCTGCTGCATGATGCAGGTGGGGTGTGTACCCCAAAACTGAGCTGGGGTGGTGTCTGGATACCCCATGGGTAGGCTTCATTCATTTCATGGAGATGTTTCATCGTGGCTGCTCTTTGCTTAGGCATTGCCTTACAACAAGCATCAAACCCCTTTGAGCTCATGCCTGACTTCTGCTAAAATCAAAGCACACGTGTAATTGGTTGGCTGAAGGAGGGAAACTCGAAAGAGCACTGAGCATTGGTCCCACTTTATATACCTGTTCTGCCTGTTAGTGATTTGCATTTGTCTTGAGCTTTTAGCAGAGGGCTTAGTCCTGACCAGACAGGCCATGCCCACAACACAGACCACCTGCAAGCACCACAGAAAGGGAAATTTGACTGCATTCATGGGTTGTGTCATCATTGTCTGCCCATTCTCCTGGAAGTCTCATAGCCCAGGTTCAGCTATTTCTTTTCTTGGAGTCTGACTAGGGTTTTGGAGCTAAACATTTTCAGTGCATTGGATGAAATTTGCAAACATCTGTCTCTTGTCTGAGCTCGTGTTCAGTTCTGCCATTAGTGTCATGGGGAGCCAGGTGTGTCACAGTTGTGAGGATTTGCTGGAGTGTCTATCTTTGAGCCCTAGAGAAGAGATTGAAAAATGTCATGAACAGGAGGCAGGATTAGGAAATAAGAATTTGGTTTTGATATCATGAAGTGGGCATGATGAGTCTCAGCTTAGTGTTACTTGTCAGCAAACCCTTGAAATATGCTCTATTTCTAGACATGAGCCCCTCTGAAGTTACCACTTGTAATTGCAAATCACTTTTAAAGTTAACCTTTTCTTGCCTTGAAGTTCTTGTCTAGATTTTACCCTTATTCTGATTTTTCTATTGGGTGGTTCATTTACATCTTCATCCTGTATTTTTTTCCATAGGTAAAATGAGGGCTTTTGAGCCCATTGGTGAGATTTTCGTAACAACTGAGATTCGTTGAGTTTGGGAGGAAGGTTTCTTAGGTTGCTATTGAAAGTTCCCTATCCTTTAATGATTAAGTGAATAATACTCTTTGGGAAGATGCTCAGCTTGATTTCTTTTTGTCTCTAGCTTGGCTTGGTTATTCTCAAGTCATTTTAGTCAGTCAATATCTACGTTTGCCTGTACCTAAAGGGACAGTTCCAATTTTCCTGTGTTAGCTGACACTACCAATGCTTCTGTGAAGGGATGTTGATTATTTGACTCCCTCCTGGTTCCTTGCTTTCTAACCAGCTCCAGGGAGAATGACTCCTGGGCCTGCTGCTGCTAGCACCAGGGTGACTAGCCATTTTCACCCTGCCACAACCTTCATCTCTTTGGGAAGCTGTGAAACACATGCCACATGTCTTGGAAAGTCAGGGAGAATGGGAGCTCTGGGAACGGTTCCCACATGGGAGATAACAGTGACTCCCCAGGAATTCCTCTGTTCCTTTGGGAGCTGGGGCCAGCCCAGCGCGTGGCTCCGTCCCAGCACAACCTGGCAGTGTCAATCTCGGCTGCCCTTGCTGGCTGGTTTCTCTCTCCCAGCTGAGAAATGAATCACCAGTGCTCACTCTACTCTGTCAGTCCCAGGCTGGCGGCCTTGTGATGCGGCCTGTACGCGGGAGCGGGGCAGGAGCTGCCCATTGCTCAGGAGAGACCCCCGAGCTGGCCACATGGATCAGAGCTGGCCTTTGGGTTTTGCTGTTGGGTTGTGGGGTTTTTCCTCCCCTTCTTAGGGCGGCAAGGCTCTGTGCTCTGTTTCCTTTATCTCAAATGTAACTGATTGGATGGTGTGCAAGGCCACACACAGCCTTATCTCATCACATCCTGTTTGACTGCATTATCCAGGGCTGCACTGATGGAAGTCCTCCTCTCTCCTTGCTTTGATTTATATCACTCTGCTGGACACTACATCCTCTCTCTGTTTCAGCCAGAGCTGGCTGCTGCAATAATTTCAGAGTTGTTTTGCTTTGCTCGGGAAGTCAGGTGCCTTTTGAACAGCAGCTGCTGCAGGCAGTTTCGGTGCAGCAAACAAACCGAGCTCGATTTTGTGTTAGGCAGTGTGACAAGCATTCAGCTGGAGCCCAGCCTCCTGTTGGATATGATCTGAGGCGAGCAGTGCTTGTTCCTTTGTAAACCAGTCTTACTCAGTGTTGAGACAGAGACAAAAATCTCACCGTGCAGCCTGTGGATGGAATGAGTTTATTACCTTGCCCAACACAGATCTCAGTTCTTTCCTCCTTGCTTGGCACTGCTGCTTGCTAAGAGCTTTTACCTCCTCGGCAACCAGTAACACTTAACCTTAACTGGTTTTATTCATGGGATTATGCAGCACTACTCTGCTGTCCTGGGTGGATAGGGCTATTCACAGGGAATAGCTTGCATTACTCAGGATTGCAGGAGGCCTGAGGCAAAGAGTGAGATCACAGCCAGGCTCAGCCCCTGGCTAAGCTGTTCTGGAGTGTTTGAGTGAAGCCCTCTCAAGAGGCCCAGTGAGCTGCACCCACCCATCTGCACTGTCTCCAGGTTGCTTTAATGATGGGAGTGCAGCTCCTAAGGAGCCTGAGGAACTGGTTGCTGTCTGGTGCTGCAAAAGTACTATTACCTTCCTAGGAACAGTTCAGTGGTCTTGCTTCAGTTGCATTCTTATTTTTTTTCTGTAGAGACCCTATAAACATATCCATTATTTTTTTTCCTCTTTTGTCTGCAAGCCTTCACCAGTCTTATTTATCATTGAATACTTGCTTTCCCCACCTTTTCCCTTTCCAGTATGTTTTTCCTGCAGTCCTTGAGTTGCACCATCTGGGAGCTACTCATCTACTGATTGCACTAATTTTTCTCTTTCAGAGGAACTAAGCTATTCTTGTAGTGTCCCATAGAATTTCCCAGTCTTCTTCCTCTGGTAAGTTTGACTGCTATCTTCCATCTAGTATCTTGAGTAATAGGTTTCTTTGTATTTCGGACTGTTGCTTCCCTAAACCCGAATCTCCTTGTATTACTGCATTGTGTAAGTTCTTTTGCTAGGTGTTCTGGATGGGAGTAAGTGGCTGGTTGCTCCAGTTTCCAGGTTTTCTTATTGTTATATGTGTATATATATAGATATAGATATAGATATAGATATATAAAATAAACTTTAAAGTTTGAGAAGCAGGATATCATCTGTTATGGCTGAACCGAGTTTTTTTTTTCTTTGCAAAATTTCCGACTGCTGATCAGATATGAAAATGTGGTTCGAATCCTCTATAGCAGGAGTGTTTGGCTCACGTTACGCCCAATGGCTAATAGGGGAATTGTTGGGGTTTGTTTGCATTTCAATGGCACCCAGGAGCACCTGTAAGGTGAAGCAATCCCTGGCGGCACACCCCGCAGTTGCAGTGGATGAGGCACCCAGAGGGTGCAGGGATGCTCTGGGTGAAGCAGCAGCAGCAGCCAGCTCCGGAGCAGGAGTGGAACCGCCTGTGGGACTGCACAGGGCTGTGCTGGCAGGGGCCCCTGCCTGGGAGGGGTGAGTGACTCCATGGGGACCCTCTGCCTGCTGGGCTGTGCTCCATTCCAACAGGACAGGGGGTGGCCGTGGGCTGGGGGGAGCCTCTGGGACAGAGCAGCTCTAAGAAAACTGAACAACTGGAGGCAGCTGGCTGCAATTTTTCAGATCCACAGGAAAGTATGATTTTGTGTTGAGCAGCTGCCACAAACACTTAAGAGGGAGCTGTTACCAACAGTAATGACTGAGGGATTAATATTAGAAAGCAGATGTGTCAGACTGTAGAGTCTGTTTAAAGATGTGCTCCCTGTCAATAAGACCTTGCTGTAGGGCTCTTGGCAGCTGTCTAGCCCTGCAGGATCTCTGAATCTCAATGAGATACCACGTGTGAAAGGAAAGAGGGTTAGTGTTGAAATTATCAGAATCGGAACACTTCAGCCAAAGCTGCTGGAGATGAAAGATTTTTGTGTTTTCTCCACGGTTTTGCTTTGTGGGTGACTCATTAAGAGATGACCATGGCAGAAAGAAAAACAGGGAGCAAGAGTGAGTAAGAAACAGTATTTGGACAGAGGGAAACATTAGGAAGGAAGATAGAGATAGTGTGGTGAGGAGGTGGATGTGCTCTGAGGGGCCTTGTGTCTTTGAAGCTGGGGGAGAACCCATCACTGTACCCCACAAAGAAAGACACGTAATCATCTCTGGATAAAATAAGAGTGAGATCAAGATAAAGAAAACTGTAAGGTACAATTGCAGAAGTACAAAAGGCAAGGAGTGGGGCATAAGTTCAGGCTAAAGGAATCCCAAGAGAAAAAACACCAAGCCCTGTGACCTCTGGCAAAACTTGCACTTATGAACATGGGACAACATCCTCTGACTACTCTGTTCCTCAGAACTGTGCCTGGTGATGGAATTCAGATGGGAAAGGAATTGTCTGAGCATGTTTAGGACGTCTGTTTAGTGCTTTCAGAATCAAATTCCCTCCACATCAGAAGAGAGCTTTGTGATTACAAACTCTTGCACAGGCAGAACCTAAAAAAAAATTAACAAGTACTAAAATATTTAGTAATATTAGAACATTTCGTAATACAAATCACCATTAAAGTTACCAGGCTGTATGCATGTAGTTAATTAAATAGAAGGCAGAAGCAAATAGAAAGTAGATGCTAACTGAAACACTTGTATTTTGTTAAAGATGTTATTAATGAATATTATAGAAACTTTTCTTATAAATAAGGCATTCAGCATTCTCATGCTTCAGAAGCTCTCAGCTTCTGAAAAATCCTCTGGTTTTTACCTGATTGCTCGTTCAGTGGGAAGCAATTCCACTGCCAGTTTTTCAGTTTGCCATCCTAATAAAATCATTTAGCACAGGGTTTAACCCCAGCTTCTTTTTTAGTTTGCTTTGCTTACTTTAATGAGTGGTCATCTTGGCCACCGAGTTCAGATCAACAGTGCAGGAAACAGAAGGCTTGAAAGTGTTGAGCCAAAGCAGAGACCAAGAGATCAGATAGCACTCAACCAGAGCTCCCTGAATTACTGCTATTGCTGCTGGCACAGAGCATTGCCTGGGACTGCACATGGACCTCACTAGTTAGCAACATTATTTAAGACAACTTTGCAGGCCTTTGAAGCCTTTGACATCTTAGTGATCCAGAGGCACAGAGTTATAAGGATTTCCATGCCATTTCAGTCTATGGAATTTCTTCAGAAGTCAGCAAATAAAAGCAAAAGTTTTGCTAGTGTGCTTTGTAATCTGAGTAATTACAGAGGCTTTAGCTGGAGATGGCCAAACATCCTTGATTTTATAATCTGTATGGTTCCCCATTTTTCATCATCCATCAGGGATAGCTTTAGTACCAAGAAGGGAAAGCAGAATCAGGACCCAAGGTGCAGAAAAGTTGGAATTGACCACAATAGCACACTTTGATCCTTGCTGACCTGCTGTAACTTGAGATTAAACTAACATTGCTGGGCAAAGCAGGAAAAGTAAGAAGCATTTAAAAAAAGTGTCTGATCACTTCAAGACTTATATAATTTCTTCTGTCACTGCTATTATGTTTTATATCTCCTTTGATTTACACCAATGTGAGAGAAAGTTCACATATTCTGTCTCTGGCTTTGTGGATTTCTCTTAAGGTACGAATGACATCTGCTCAAGTCAAGTCAGTGCAACTTTTCTTTAAGGTTTGGAGAACAGAGTCTGGAGAGTTGACACTGCACTGAATAGGACATGTTTTCTCCTCCAGTTATTCTTGGATTAGAATGGACCCAAAGTTTCCTGTGTCACCAAAAGCACTTAGTGCAGATGCCAAGCCTTGTAAAATATGAAATGATCAGGGTGTGTGATGGGGGGAGGAGAGTTATGCTTCAGAGATATGCTTCAGATATTTATTGAGTTTCAGCTTAAGAGTGTGCCATGATGAAATCATCTGCTAGGTATTCCCCTGTGTCAGCATGGACACTAAGGAGATGAAAATAACTGGATTCAAAGCAGATGCTTTTTATGGTCATGATGGTCCTTCATCCCCTTAGGAGATGACTTTGCCTGTGTGCATTGCTGGGGGATTTGGCCTGACAGCAGACCTGTAGTTTCCAGTGACTGTGGCTTTGGGAGCCGTGTAGTTGAGCAACTGGAGATGTTTTCACTTGGTGTGAAACCTGCTGGCTCCTGTGAGATTTGCAGCTCCCAGTGCAGGTGATGTGATGAATGCACTTGCTGTCACACCTTGGGTTTCCTTCTGAACCCTCTGCTTTTCAGCCTGTCACCACAAGTTACAGCCAGCCTGGGCCTTGTGTTTGTGGATATTTTGATGTGTGTTTACTGTAGAGGGTCGGCAGAGCCTCCAGGGACTAGGGGTGCTTGGGGAAGGAAGATTTGGAGCAGGTAACTTCTCTTTCCCTGTCAGTGTCTCCCTGTGGAAAGCTTACTTCTCCACACGGATTCCCCAGCAGGACAATCTCTTAAATACCCATGTAATTTTTTATTAGCATCTGTCAGTGAAAGGGGGAATGTTTGGGGAGTGGAGCAACTGTTACCCTTCATTTCAGGGTCTCTTAAAGTCACACAGCTGACCTTGGTGCCAGTCACAGTGTGCTGGGATGCCAGCCCCAGTGGTAAAAAGCCAAGTGTGTGTTCCCCTCTATGCCCCTCTCATCTCCCATTGTATTATTTCTTTCCATGTTCATTAAATGGATCAAGAGGGTTGAAATAATCTCATGTAGGTGCTGAAATGAATGGATGTGCTGTGGAAGACCATTCCAGTGATTTGTGTGTTTCAAATACTCTCACAGGAAATAAGTCATATACTGGGTTTTTAAAATATCTTTGTGCACCATTTGTTAAAATGCTGCATAGTTAAAATGCTGTGTCTAATTATTTGTCTAATTTATATTGTCTGTATTGAAATTAGTCAAAGACACAGTATTGTCTTATTTCCTTAGCTTATGGAGATGTAAAATATGTATTTGCTGCTGTCTAAAGTCATTAAGGAGCAGCAAAACCTTCTGAGAGCCAGTGTTGCCAGATCTTTACAATTTCAGGTTTTGAAATGTTAAAGTGCTGCAAGAATTTCAGCTTTTATTAAAAAAAAAAAATCTGGTCATTATGGTCTTGGAGAAGATTTAAAAACCACAAAATCCAAAGAGATAAGAAACTAAAGAAAGACTTGAAGAAAGTTTGTCAGAAAAGTTTCTGGAGCTATGAGCCCTGAATTTTTGAAGTTCTGAGCTTGAATGAATGGACTGTTTTCCCCCTAGATCAACTACGACATGGCAAAACTGCATGTATTTTTTTTTAATGACTAGTTTTTGACAAATACCACACCCAAATTTCTCCTGTGTTCCCCTTTACATTTTCACTGTGATATTTCTGAGCTAGAGAGTTGCCATGTCAGACTTCTCTTCTTACTCATGTTCAGTGCAGGTTTGATGATTCTGCTGCTTTTGGAAAAGCAGTCCTTATTCTGATTTTCTTGCTACCCAGCTCAATGTGAGAGAGGGAAGAGGGAGGGAAGTTTTGAACTCTGGCTGGATTCTCAAATGCTGGCTTGTGAACATTCTTTCTAGCCCAGATAACAAAGCTATTAAAATGATAAACAAACAGCTTTGGGATTAAGGCAGAAGAATTATCTGTGTCTTTAGAAGCCATTTATCTCCTGCCTGGTTGACTGGAAGTGTCTGTGTGGTCTGAAGTCAATTTCTCAATGAGTGCTTCAGCAGCTCCACTCAAAGGCTTCAGCTCTCCTGTAGGCATTTATAAGTAAACTGTAATTTATTGTAGTTTTCAAGAGCTAGCAGCTGTCTGCTTAGGTTCAATGAGAAACCAAATTCTGCTCCTGCCCAGTGGCAAATCTAACAGCTTGAGACTAGTAAGGGAGCAGAGAGGCAGGGGAAACTTGAAGGAATTTGCCCAAAGTCGTTCTGAGGATGAGCAGTAACAACAGGCTAAGCACCTTGGTTCTTGATCTGCAACCTGGTGCTGTCATCCCTGTACTCATGGTGCCTTCTGCTCCTGCCAGGATATGGGGTTTGGAAGGCACTGCATTAAACTGTCCAGGAATGGCTTTTTTAATAGCACAGCTGATCCTTGAGAAGAAATGTCAGCGTTAGAAGTGACACCAACTACTAACTCTGATCCAGTGAAACAGGATCTAAGAAAATTTCAATCCCAGTGCTCAGTGATGACTGGATAATTCATCACTGCTGTAGTCTTTCACACAGGCTGAATCCCTCTATGTGTGCGTTGGAAAGTTAAATAACAGTGACAAGGACAATGACAGTGCAGGGAGAAAGAAATAAAGGAGATAAAGACACGAGAAGACTCCTGAGGAGAGCTGGGAAGTGACAGAGTTAATGAACCAAAGAGAAATTGGAGCAGGCTGTTTTTCAGAAGGATTTGTAGAAAATGTTTTCATCTCAACACAAATAAAAACCCAACATGTGGTTGAGTTATCTTTAAGATAAACTTGAAGTAAACCCCTCCTAACTGAGATTTTTTTTCAGCTTTTTTTGCTTTAGAATCCCCTTGGAGGGTTTCTAACTGCCCGGTGGGATGTGCTTGCCCTTGCAGGTTCTGAGTCTGCTCCTCCGTGTGGCACCTTGGAGTTTCTAGCTGGCACCATTACCTCCAACGAGTGGAGTTCTCCCACCTCCCCTGAGGGGAGCAACGACTCGGGGGGCAGCGAGGCCTTGGACAAACCCATCGACAATGACGCCGAGGGCGTGTGGAGCCCGGACATCGAGCAGAGCTTCCAGGAAGCGCTAGCCATCTACCCGCCATGCGGCCGCCGCAAGATCATCCTGTCCGACGAAGGCAAGATGTATGGTAAGGAGAGAGAGAGAGAGAGAGAGAAAGAGAGAGAGAGAGGTCACAGCACAACGCTCCACACAGCCTGCCCCCTGCTCCAAATGATGCTCTGAGTGAATTACCCTTCTCTCACGTGTTCCCAGGCTGGTGCTGTTGGTTGCCTGGAGTCTTATTTAGGAAAATGGGTGTGACATTGATGAAGCAGAAAGTGTTATAGGTATCGTTTTCAGGGGATTATCCATAATATAGATCTCAGAGCTGAGCATGTGCTACTGAACTAATCTTTATATATAAATATAAGGCTTCATGGTGTGACAAAGCCTATCTTTTATGGTATCTCTTCTTCACTGCTCTTGTTGGAGGTAAGAACAGCTAATGATCTGCATATCTGGTGCTACAGGAAAGAAGCTCAGCTCCTGAAGCCCTGAATGGCTCTGCTGCTGTGCAAACACCACACCTACCTACTTTAGCTACCTACACTTTTCAGATGTTAAGGGCAGAAAGTTCTGTGTACTGCTTTTCATTGCAGTTTGCGGTCTCAGCCCTGGCACAAGTATCTTTCACCTGTGGATTCTTCTCATCTAGCTAACTAGATACCCAGCCCTGAGTACAGAGAGGCTCTGGCATGCAGCTGCAGCAGAAGTCAATTTTATACATGAATTGGGTTTTTTTGACCTTTTCCACAGTTAAAAAATTTCTTTTGATTTTTGTTAACCAAAAGCTAGTGTGGCCTGGATTCTCTAGCTGAGAATTGCAAGAATCCACCTGGTAATGCAAAGCAAAGGTTAAATACCCAGTATTTGGTTTTCAGTCTCAAGGTGGACAGTTTCTCCAAACTCTAGCAAGGATCTTATGGAAGACAGCTCTCTTTCTACCCAGTCGGTGCTTGCTTTTTTCCCCCCCACCCCATACATTGGAATCTGCCCTTCTTCACAGGCCCCATCACGGGATGCTCCGTGCATGCCCTGGAGCTTCCTACAGGGCACTTCACAAGCAATTCTGCAGTTTTCTGTCCACCCATCAGGCCATTGTTCCCCGAGCAAGGGAATGGATTGCCTGACTGCGGGAGCGTGGGTGGAGTCTTTTTTACAGGGCCTTATCTGCAGTGGATGGTTTTACTGGGTACACACATCATTGTACCTGGGAAGAGCAATCGGGGTTGGGTAAGGCTGGTCACCCTGAGGCTAATCTGGGGCCAGTATTCTCAGGCAGACATCAATTCCTGCTCTGAGCTGGTGCAGGCGTTTGTATGGTTGTGCTATGGAAGCAGCCGGGGAACTAATTCCGTTTAAAACTAACATGGCCAGAAAGGAGAAAAGACGTGAACTTTAATTTCGATACTGCCCAGCATCTTGTGCTGGTATTTAGAGAAAGGATGGTGAGATTGGGAATGAGCAACCATGACTGAGATCAAAGTAAAACAGCTTCTTTGGGGACTGATTAAAATGTTACTCAGACTAAAATATTACCTGAGAATCCACCCCATGGTTATTAAGCATGAACTAGTGACATGCTCTTGTTGCTATATGTCTGCACTGCTTTTCATGATGGGTGACTTTTAAAATTACTGGTGAAAAATTACAGTTGTGTTTTAAGAGTAGTAATTTACTAAACATTTTGCCCCTGAAGTATTTCAGTTTTGGAGCGAATGTGTCAGAGCAGAGAGTGAAAGACAAGAAAAAAAATGAGAGCAAAAGTGAAGCACAAAGGGATACATAAGCCAGTGACACTTGGCTGGGCCTGACACAGCATGGATTGGTGTTAAGTGGAACACACCTGGTTGACTGGACTGCTGAACTGCAGAAGGTAAATAACCTTCCTGCAGGGTGAAAGGTTTAGGGTAGGCTCAGGGAGAAGAAATTAAGAGATTTTCTGCAAGCCCTCCCTCCCTATTCCAAATGGGACAGTGTCCCTGCTTGCCTTCAGTGCACCTGTTCCTGGTGTGGATGGTTGGTTCAGTGTGCTCCTGACAGAACCCAGGCACTGATTTATGCCCTTCTTTGCTTACTCGTCTCCAGGACCCAGGCCAAGGAAGTGGGGCCCTGTCTGGGATCTATAGAAAGATATGACCGGGCAGGGAGAATAAATATAGTCCCTGATTTCATCTCCAGTGCTCACAAGCCAGCTTGTGGAGCAGGGCAGGCTCGCTGTGGAGCTGGCCCTGCCTCTGAAGGGATGGTTATTTATCCACCCTGTGACTGACTTGCACAGAGCCCTCTGAACCAAGGGGTGAGCTGTTACAGAGAGCTCTTTATGCCCCTTTCCCCTGACAAAACTGGAACCATTTCACTGTTTCTCACTGAGGAGTGGCTCGTGTGGTTATGGGCAAGATGTTCCAGGTCTCAGAATTTCTTCTATGTGCAATTTATGTGCTTCTCATCTTTTGTGAAGCAGACTGTTGTCAGTTCAAAACTGGCGGCTTTTAGCTGAAGTGTACTGAGGCAGTACGAAGAATTTGTGCTGTTTTGCTTAAATGCATTTAAATTTGCACACAAAGTTGTGTTTCAGCCTCTAAACAGGCCTCACGCTCATGTTGCCTGCCTCTTCAAAGTTGGCTTGTTTACAGCTCTTTAGGCAGCACTGCTGATTGCAGAGTGAGCACCATCCCCTCTTCACTCCAAAGTCAGCCAAGCTCTTCTCTGTACACTGATAATCTGTGTCCTGATTCCTTTGCTGCCTTTCCTTTCGTTATCTTTTTCCATACTAGACAGGTTCCACTCCTGCATGGAGGCAGCATCCTGACTGAGTAAGCTCATGGCACAGCCCTCTCTGGGTGCCAGCTCTTTCCAGCAGGCTTTGCTGGCCACCTGCTTAAGGCACAAGCAGCTGTCTCCTGTGATATGGAATGCTGTCCTTTCTCCAAGTCGTTGTGTGGAGTGTGGGGCACTTTCTGCTCTGGTGACTTCTGGTACCGTTAAGGTCTTGCAGAATAATTTTATGAGTCCTGCCTGCTAGAACACCGTGGGGGTACAGCATTACAAATAAGTCATTTATGTTTTCCAATAATGTTTTTCCGTGGGAGAAATCATACCTGTAGCATTTGTACTGAATAAGCTGTCACAGAATTAGGTGTTGGGTGTCTCCTGGCATCTTCAGTATGATTAGACAGAGTGCAAAAGCATAGTACCTTTGTGAGATGTTCATGGAGATGTTGAATAGACCAGGTCTCCCAACATTACTGAGAACAGAGAAATAAGAAATGTTAACTTGCAAACCTTTTTTGACATTACAAGAGAGACAATAAGATCTTGGAAAAAACCTAATGATTATTATCTTAGCTGTCCAGTGCTCCCTTGCACCGCCGGAGCACCTGGCTTGGAGCACGTTTTTGCAAGAGGGTCTAGAATTGGTGGCAGTTTGTTGGGTGGCTGTTCTGAAGGAGTCAGTAGCTTGGCAGCTGCTTTTCAAACAGCTCAGCCATTTCTGTGCTGAGCAGGGAGGGGCAGACAGCTGGGGGCAGTCATCCATCTCCCAGGCTGGTGCCATCTGTTTGTGAACTGCTGATAGGAAATACTTAGAGATGTCCAAAGCTTAGAGGCTGAGAGATAGAAGCAGGACAGTCAACCGTGTTACTAGTTAAAACTTGGAGCAGGCAGTGAACCACAAAGTCTTGCTTTTACAACATGACTTAAGATGGGATGAAAGGTCAGTCTGATGCTAAAAGCTGCCAGGTCACAATGTCCCTCCCACCCTTATTCTGAAATGATTAGGTAAATTTGCAGGATAATGCCTTTATCTCAAAGGGATAAGTTATCATTTAATGTTCTCTCCAACCTCAAAGAGTCACTAAAAGTAGAACTGACAAGCAAACACATAAATCCAAAGAAGCATAAAACTTACACTGCCTGTCCTGGCTCATAAACACTTCTTCAGGAGAGGGAGGAGCATGGTTGTTATTTAAAATAAAACCTACAAGGTTGGAGTCTTAAAATGCTTTCCTCCTGTATTATAGTTTAGCCTCTTACCTGGTGATGTTTCAGTCAAATCTATTGAAACATGCTGAGAATGTGCTCAGTTGACACTGAACTGAATGTTCCAGGTAATTGATAAATTTCTATTTCAGCTGTGATATCCCTCAGAGAGATACTTCTGAAGCTCCTGTCCCTTCCATTATTATGACCTAGTGAACTCCAGAACAGCCCTTTATCCCATGATTTTGGAAGAAAAAAGGAATCTTGTATTTTAAACACTAGAAGACAGACAAAACTTGGATTAGTGGACAATTGGTCAGGATGCAGACTTTGCCCTCCCCTCTGGTGGTAGGTGTAATGTTTCTGGAGTTGCTTAATAATGAGGTTTTGTTTCACTCAGTCATCTTTCAACTTGGCTTTTGTGTGGCTCTGGTTCTTTGTAGTCAGCTAGACGAAGCCAGACTTCTGGAGACATGAGCAGTGGGTTAAACTTCTGCTGGAGTTTCTCGTGCTTTTCCTTCCATCTCCTTTGTAAGCCAGGTTTATGTTTCTTTGTGTTAAGCTGTATGTCAGTTTAACTGGTGTTTTCTCCATGCAAGCATGAAAAGAAATATTTTTGCATTAATTCCAAGCATTCTTTAAGTATTGAGAAATTTGCCACTTTTGAAATACCAACCCACCAGGAATCTTCTTCCAGTTAATAGTACTGGCTGTGGCATCTTTCCTCAACATGCTTAGTACTGAACATAAATATAGTAGCAATCTTATTGAGTACTACATGTTATCAAAATTATCATGACTCCTTTTGTGGGGGCTTCATTTTGTTGGTTTAATAAAGGGCATAAATTTTTCCTGTCCCTTTTGATTTTTTTAGCAGCTTTGTAGTCCCATATTTATCTGTCAGGCTTAAAAACCAAGTGAGCTGTGTAGTACTACATTTTCCCCATTGCATATGTCTTCAGCCACAGAGTTTTCATCACATTTAAGTGACTTCATTGGCAACATTGCATTAACCCTTATGGCTCTTACTCTGACTTTTTAATTTTTAAATTTCAAATTTTTTGTAATTCTCTAAGATAAAATTGATTTGTAGTGGTATATTGTCAG